CCTGAAGCAACAACTTGCATTTAGAGGGAGAAAAGCGCATCCCAAACATTCTAGCATTGTTGCTCAGTGCTACCAAAAGACTCACCAGGATATTATTACTATAGTGCAGTTTCCGATAGAATTCCTCTTGTAGCTATTCTAGGGTTACTGATGGTCCCACACAAAAGAGGAGAAGTAGACATGCGGTAGTCAACCCTATCCAATAGAAAACAAACGTTGAAATACATCAACCAGAATAAGATCATCCAAACTCTGGACTGAGAGTTCAAGGATCTACATCACGAAGAATTTATTACGCTTCATGATGAAAGCCCAGATTCTTCGGAAGTCACAAAGCAGATATCACTTCGAACAACCAGAGCAACAATAATATAGGTACATGGAAAGTCCGGACAATGTGAGAGACTGGAAGAACCAATAAAAAAACGCGAATGAGGAGATACAACTTGTCGCTACTCGCAAACAGTGAAACCCATTCGACTCAAACTGAACAGAAAGGGCTAGATACAGATCACGAAGAGGAAAATGCTCCCCACACTCAAGGTGTTACTCTGATGCTGTACAAACAACCATGTAAAGCACTAATAGGATGAGAATCTAATGGATCCAGAATCGTCAAAGCATCATTCAAAACAATGAAGGAGGAGATCACAATGAATGCTATTCAATGTTATCCACCCACCAATGATAACAACGACGACAATAAACATCATTTTTATGCGAGGCTGCAATCAATCATTGTGAAGTTCCCAATAAAGGATATCACCATCGTGATGGGAGAACAAAACTCCAAGGTCGGAATAGACAACATTGAGTATGAAGGTATCATGAGACGACATGGACTGACTGGGAGAAAGGGATGAGGATGTCGACAGATTTACAAATCTATATGCATTCAACAAGTTGTTTATAGTTCGCAGTATATTTCCTCACAAATGCAGGCTCTGAGTTTGATCTCTGACGAAGTCATGGGTTCGCACTGCTAAAAAGTTACATACTGGAAAAAAATGGTTGTCCAGTAATTTGTAGTCTTCAATGGTACTCTAACTGAAACCAATCTGTGAATAATCAAACCTATAGACCATTAGAATTTCCAAAATATCTAAGTAATGTAATGATACATCACTTGAATCAAGAGAACAACAACAACATAATTTAATGAAGGACAGTTAAGGCCAGAAATTGTATTTTATTTTACCGATTGTATTCTAACCAAAGAAGGAGAATAGGAGAAAATGAATCTGTCAAACGATTAAATACCATTTACTCTATATAATAATTTTATGAAACAAAATAGTGTAAGTCAAATAGCACGGGACAAAACATTCTCACAAAGCTTATGTCTATTGAATACTAGTCCACACAATTTGGAAATGTGCAAAAGTAACATATGAGAAAATTGCTTGTGTGAACGTGCTTTTTAAGCATGCATATATATCATTGCCCAAGTGAGCTCAGATGTTTAGACAAAACAAACACGAAAATATTTGCAGAATACAGTAAATTCCTTGTATTTCATTGTTTTCTCTTCAGCTACATACGAGCTAAGTCTATTAACGTTAAAAGTATATTTTCAGGTAAAATCAATAAATTTAAAAAGTTATCTACTGTTGCCTGTCACCGCCGACTTTCCCATCGCTTCGATTTTGAATGCCTACCATTGCTCGCAACCAGCAGGTGAACTATTTCTAAGTTTGAGTCTAAGATCCTTTTGATGCTTATTGATAACTACTACAAATGCTTAAAGATCAAGAATTAATGTGTTAGGTTATAAAAAATTCCACACAAGCAAAATTGGCAGCTGACACTTTATGGAAGTCTCCCAATGTTGTCTGGTTTTTAAGACTTAACCTCAACAATCTATCAATCATAAATTTATAAATAACTACAAAATGTATAAGGCTTTTTGAAAGGATTTAACAATGATTAATTTCAGCTATCGATCAATATTTAACCAAGAACAACAACCAATAATGACAATAAGAATGATAATGAGGACTCTCTTTAAGCAGATATCTTCAGTACCAGTAACTGAAACGGAAAACATGACAAGAAACATTAACCGAATGTGACTGGTAAGAAACCAGTGAATTGAGTTAGTGACAGAGAGAAAATCCAATAGACTGCAACTTACAAAATTAAATGGTGAATAAGCTCAGTTTTGTCTACAAGATTTGTTTTAAACTACCAACCGTTGAAGTGACTCAATCAGAAACTAATCATTCCTGTTAGAAGTCAGTGTTATGTGCTAAAAATAGGCAAATTGAGTTATTTCAGCATAAAAAGAGCAAAGCGGGAAATCGATAGTGAGTAAAAGGAAAATAAGAGTACAATAATAAACTGTGTTAGACGATGGCTGGCAATTAAAATTTGATGTTAAATTACTTAGTTCTCCCTAGTTAATTAAACGTGATGAAAACGTACTTGTACATAAAAATCAGTTATTTAGAAAATATGTCAGTAATGTAGAGATTTTTTGCAAAACGGGAACTCAAACTGGCGGCTTTTGTATAATATACATACAGCATTAAAAAGATATAAGCGAAAGGTATAGATCAAGTTGGGACACAGCAACAAAGAGTATCAAGTTGAGCGGGATAACAGTAATAATAATGATAGTACGCTAGAGAAATCGGCTGCTTACCATAACGGTCGTCTTGAGATTTATGAATTGGATGATAACGCATCGTTTAAATTAATAACTATTATATAATATGTAACATAAAATGAGAAAAGGTAGAATATCAGTGTTAATTTTTAACACATGTAAAATAAGAAGTGCAAAGTATGCGACCGTGATTGTTGACAACAGAAACATATATAAATATTAACTGATTGGTTTAATTCAGTGAACAATCACATATTCATGTACTTGACTTTAAATCAAGTAAATTACGTGTGAGGACTAGTGATACTGCCCGTCTTTTTAAACCAAAATACGTGGAATTGAACTCGAACTTGTGGCCTAGAAGTTAAAAGTTGAATGCCTTAACCCTACGCAAATATTTACCTTTGTTGTTTATTTTCTTTCTGAAACTAAACTTAGACACGTGAAAGGAAGTCTCATTGTCAAAATTAACAGATAACAGGATTTGAGTATAGTTAGTGGTTAACAGTGGAATCCGTAGAGTACAATTTATGCTAGATGGGCGACTTGTCAGTTGGATGTGTCTATAATATCAACAACGGGAAGACGCACATATTTATAAGATAAAAAGATTAATACAAATTCACAAAACGAAGTGTTACACCAACAATGTCTGATGTCATTTTAAAAAAGAATCTATGCATTTTGATCACATCAAGAATTCAAAACAAGGTCAGTTGTGATAAAAAAATATTATAAAGTGAATAATATATGGTCCGTGACTATCTCTTAACAGAGATTTACAAAGAGATGGATGGAGAATAACAATATACAATAGCAGGTAACTTATAGATTTTAGTTCCAACAAAAATTACCCACCAAATTTAGAACAGTTTAAATAATAATTTAAAATCACGGAAATTGTCAGATTTAAATACTTACTTTTTAGGACTATTCACGTAAATGATATAAAATACATTTATTAAGGACTAAATAAAATTATTATTACCGTTTAAACACCTAAAATCAGTTTCCCTGTTCCAACTTCTAAACAACAATCGGTACAACTTATAGATTATGACAGGAAAACATAAATTACTCATTTAACTGCACTGCTGAAAAAACAAATTACGATTGATGAAAGTTTATTTCAAAGTTCAATGTAGTGATGAAAAACAGTATATGGGAACAATAATATATCATTTTTCAAAGCAAAATGAACACACCTCAGTTTTAAATCCTCAATTCCAAAGGTGATCAAACGATGCTAAACGTTACAGCACCATTAAATGACAGGAAAGATACTATTCGCCTTTATCTAAAAAAAATGTTCATTGAGAAAAAATGCAACTCGATGATGATAAAATTCATGTTGTAAGTTTTGAAACAAAATAAAGGTGATATCAATTTTATATCAGAAATCGAAATCACAGGACATTATTCAATCAGTGGTCATATTTATTAAAGCTATTCAAAGGTCTTTTTTTAAAAAAAAACACCAGAAGATAGTAGGACCTCAAGCTAAACGTCACGTTTAGAGGTTGTCAAAATTACTATGTTTATCTCATTGAAATGGATAGAATGGAATTCACTGATTGTCGATTCAATCGTTGAACGTATAAAACTATTAATGAGCATTATATCTTGATATAACACTGTGTTATTATCAACATACATGCCGTTGCAATCAACCTATTATGTAATAGACAGAAAGAGTCGAATTAAAAATGTCGAAGTGGTAGCATAATAATTCACAAGCTTTTTAATAATAATAATTATTATTATTACTATTGTAGTGAATAGAACACCAGTGGGGAACAATCGAATATATTTAACACAAAATTACAGGACTTGTTAATCAAATCTAACAACCATATATTAAATGCTTAATTTGCGAAATGTCCATCAATTGTCTCAAAGCGACTCAGATTTCATTGTTCTTGCATTTTTATACAAATCGCATTCTGTTTCCATTCTTTACTGTTCAATCCTCTTATCTCTCTGCTGCCAGACATTCATGTTCCTGACTAACATCATATACTACTTATGTGAATATAAGTAGCACACATACCACATTATTACTATTATGAAAGCACTTCCCACCGGACTGAACGTGTCTATCTCACTAAATAATTAACTCATTACTTTTTGCATCGCTTATTGACTCACCCTTCTTAATGATAAAGCTAAGTTGATAGATGGATGATACAACCTAACAAATTCCATTGTTTGTCTAATTACTTCAATAATTTTTTCTTTAAAAAAATCATGCTGTAAGTCACCTTTTTTAAAAGTGATAAATAATCCCAACCAATAATAACATTACATAACATTAAGAAACATACAACATTCAGTCAAACAGAGATAGTAAAAAGTACCAAATATATGTTGAAATAGTTTCCTAGTTCTTCTTCATTAACAACACGTATAATAAAAGGCATTTATCATAAATTACAAATTGTAAAAATTATTATTCACAGTGTAAAAAAAGAACACTTCATGTTATGTATAATATATACATTTACAATAAAGATCATAAAATTATTTGTTATTAAACCTATAATTTACAACTAACTGCAATAGATTTACTAACTAGTTTTATTTTACGTAAAGATGGAAACAATAAAGAATAAAACAAATAAAAAATCAATTATACGATGGTGTTGTTTCTTCCACATGATCTACTGTAGTACTGTGATTGTTGTACACATATCTATCGATGAACAACATGGAAATAAAATCAACACAGAGGTAAATATGAATTTAAAAAAGAAAAGAAAAAAAATAAAAAAGGGAAAATAACTTTTTTTGAATGATAGAAATAAAGGTAACTTAATTCATTTTAATAAATCATTCTGCTGTAACGATATTGCAGTGGCATCGGTTCGACCTATAAATGAAAAAGCAAAAGATGTATTTAAGAGAAAAAGAACCATATAAAACAATAAAGATGAATTACACGAATTATGCAAATTCTATACGCTGTGTTCGCCACAAATTGACCTCAGTTGGAGTATCATTGAAAACTAGGGAGCATTGAAATAGCCATTTCGTCCTAGCATGGGACTTCTTAACAGTGAGCATCCGGAACTCTCATTTTGCTTGATCCTTCGTAAACAAACTGTTATATTTCTCTCTTACGGTTATAACCCGGCTATTCCTATTGCTTGGTATTCACGGACACATTCACTCGACAAGGCCCCAAATCAGAACACGGTTGAGCAGGAAGGAGATTATATTCCAAATAACAAGGTTAAATGGAAGCAAGAAGCACAATAGGAAAACCGTATATTTATAGTTTTTACATGAGGAGATTCCAGAGTATTCTCCAAGCATCGGCTAACGCTGATTGGATAAGAATCAGCCAATTAGCGTGCGCCAACGCAAGCGTGCAATGAGCATGATTTAACCCTGTCTATGTCCCGCTAACACACACATACAACCAAGACCAAGAACTTTAGGTTTTGGAGCATGCACGAGATTCAATGATTAAAAATTTTAACTTCAATTAATAGTTTGCTGCAATTAGTAAGATAGCTTTAATGAACATTAGCACTTACATCATTCCAATAAACAACACGAACAAATTTCAATACATGATCGCGACCAAGAAAAGTACCATCTTCATTATTTTGTATAAAAATATCAATCTACATATATTTAATAGAAATAGAACAAGGAAAGAAAGAAACAGTGAAGACTGTAATAAAAACAATGTTAAACTAGAGGAATAAACATGCGAATAAAATGATTAAATTTAGTGTATACGGAGAATAGGAAAGACCATATTACAATACGTGGAATGTTTACGTTATATGCTTGTTACAGTGTCTACCAATTAACTGTGACCTTTAAAAAAATAATAACGGTAACAATGAATTAGTACAAACCGGTGGAATGTCCCCTAATAGTTTAAACATCTGATGTTTGGACACTAGAAATACTATGATTAATCTTTAACAATTTGTATTACAAATTATAGCATGGAATTTCAATAGACGAACACATTTGACAAAAAGTAATGAAGCTTTTATGTAGCACCAAATGGAATCATGATAACGTTTCTCAATAACAGGGAAATAGAAATTAAAGAGACAGTTGCCATTTTATCCTAAAACTAATTATGACCAACTGAGATTGCATTTATGTATTGTATTCGTTTCTTGGTTTTCATAAACTATTTCTTTAAACACTATCTACATTTTATTTCTGTCAATTTGGCTTAAGGTATTTTCACGTATTGTCCGTGAACCATCATTTTGTTGTTACATAGTTCCTGAGTAATTACTACTTTATATTAACAATAATTTCTGTACGTACTGCTATTTGAATTCCGGAACCTTCTTTTTGACTGTTTTTAAGCACACACCTCTTCAGTGTACTGTAAAACTTTTCATTTGGTTATCACAATTTATTAAAATTCACTGAGTAGTAGGTCAGTTTAGCTTATCAAGGAAACATGTATGCTCAGAAATTATGGAGATTTGAAGCTCAAATGGATGATTTTGGTGTTGTTGTACTTTCTGAGTTAAACAAAGACAGCTTCGCAATTAAATCGTTTGACTGAGTTTGATTTTCCAGTCTTGTTCTATTAAACATCATGACTATATTGAATATTATCATATATTTAACAATAAATCCTCTTAAAGAGTAGTTGTTTTTACCTAGACTACTACACCAACAGTTTGCATCACAAATCTAACGAAAAACCCAGTTCTTCCAGGTTCTCAATGGTGGTCTAACATTGATTCATTCAGGATCTCAATCAAAACTCAACAATCTCCACAATCCTATACCCATAATTATCATGTGCTCACCAGTGACTAGCTTCAAGATTGATTTCCTAGAGTTCTAGTGAGGATTCGTGACCACTGGAATTCAACTGTCTGTTCAGAGACAGTTAATCACTGAAGACAATGAAACACAGTCATAAAATATCGTGGATTGGTTGAAGTTAGACATTAACACCGTTGGATACCAGCTCAGTGATCTAGGGGTTAAGCGTTCGTGTGCCAGACCGAAAGTCTTAGGTATGAATCCCACGTGCGGGATCGTGGACGCGCACTGCTGAGGAGACCCATACTATGACGAAACAACAGTCCAGTGCTTCCAGGTTTCTAATGGTGGTCTATCATCGATCCATTCATGATCTCAATCAAAACTCATACAACAACAATTACTTATTTCCTACCAAATGACCCAACAAGAATATTCTTAATTGAGATCATGAACCAATTGATGTTAGACCACCATTGAAAATCTGGAAGCGCTGGACGGCCGGTCGTATGTAGGCATTCACGAAATAAAATACTATTTCGAACTGTGTTGATAGTTAGCTATCATAAAACAGCTCATCATTATGAACCGCCGTTTTTTAATTATTGCACGTATTGATCCCGAACGTAGCTATTATCTTGATGCGATGGTCTGACTTCTTTATCACGACGACTCAACTGAGACACTTGTTTCTTCAAGTATTAACATGGCAGAAATCCCGACTGGAGAGAAGCAACTTAAGGTTGAAGGGCGAGGTTGTACTACTGACGCTACTGGAGTATGGTGGCAGTAAGCTGTTTCCCTCAAACACCGTCTCAAGCGATCCTGTCTCACAATGTAAGGAGGGTTACAAAAGTTGGTCCTAAAAAAGCACACTTCACCTTACCCCCAAGGATTTCCGTCGACGGTAGTTAGGCCTCAAAAGTACAAAACTAACTAATCTAAAACTCCCTGCACAAAGGCTTTGTAACCGGTCACAAATAATTGTTTCTTGGGCAGTACAATCATACTACCAGGACCTCAAGACCACTCATAACCCATTTTCCTTTTCACGAAACTCAGAAAATATTTTTCTACGACATGGGGAACCCGGAATCGACAATCCACCACATACCTCTAACTGACAGACACATCTATTTATCGAATACGAAATTTCCTGAATAGAATAAAAACTTATCATTTGTTCATATTGTGTACAATGAAATACAAATAAATGAGGAAAATATACAGCCTAATAAATAAAAGGATACGTCTTCGTTAGGACGTTTAATTCAAATACTGAAACATCAAAATCGTTAACCATAAGAATAGAAATTGTAATGAGAGGGGGAAAAAAATCATTTAACCTACTTCATGAAACTTAGATATATCATGAAGAACTTGTTGTGCAACATATTTTCGCAAATGTGTCACTGTAGCCCTCGATGAAAGTCGTAAATATTTCTCAGTTAATGGTTCCAGATTATCAGATCCCGGTTCAAGTTGTATATTGACTTGTTCATCTTTACGATGATAATCCGGATCGAAATTTGAAGTTAGTCCATCAGAATCAGATGGGACTGCACCTGTAATATTCTCTTTACTGACTAATACATGAGTTTCTTTGCCTAAGTCTGGTGAATTTTCATCAAAATAATACCAAACAAATTTGGAAACATCAAATATCGTTAGTATATAAACATCAAAATAAATACAAAAATTGACCTATTAAAAAATATCCAACGAGCAATGACTGGAATAGTGTAACTAAGAAGCGTGATATAACCTACAGAATTCTCAAACTATATTAAGGACTCATACATTATTTATCAGCAGTTATGAGACTGTAAACATTCAGATCAATTTAGGTTACTCTGTAATGTTAATGGTGTTTTTTTGCCTATATCCTTAGTAACCTAAGTGCCTAAACCTGAATTGTTATATAACTTCAAACCAACCATATCTATAATTATTCAATCCATTTACATACTAGACTTTTATATGTCATGTGTAGTTTACATTCTTGTAATCTACACGAGTCAAACATAAGTGTATGAGTACAGATACTTTGTGAGCTACCCTATACATAATCTATCCAGTTCTTTACTTGAATTATAATGAAATCAGTGAACTGGTTAGATATTATAATTATAGGTTGATTCCTAAAGTGGAAACACCCAAAAGCTTCTAGCCGAAACTAGTGCTATAAAAACGAATATAAAATATACTTCCATGAAACTAAAACTGTCATATTGCACGAGAAAATATAAACACAACTGGCATCTTGATGCAGCGTTCGGTTTTTTTGATCACATATACTGATTTCAGCTATGTAAACGTAGTGGTAGCCTGGTACACTGACTTATATGAGTTCTATCAGCTAAAATTATTGAAACCTCTGGTTCTAAAGTATGGTACGTCATACCAAAAGCAGTAAAACTAGAAATAGCGATTACCATAGGATGAAAAATTAATTTTTCATACGGTGTAGATCTAATTAATACTGTTAATTATTCTGTGTGTGGCTTGTAGCGTTAGTTTCCAGACTAATACTTTCACTATAAGAAACTGTTCCTTAAAATACACACCCAATCAAATCCACCTTAATTCCACTGCCAGTAATAAAGTAACTAAGGATACGAAGAACGTCGGAAAGACAAATCAAAGCTATACGTAAGTAACATTGTATGATTTATTATTTATTTATTTGAACACATAAATATTGGTACAAGGGGGCGCTAAATATATATGCACCACACAAAACAATGAGAATGGGAAGAGAAAAAGATGAGGTAAGGAGCGTTAAAGAAAAAAAAGAAGAACCATAACGACCAGATTAGTGCAAGGTAGTATAATAAAGATAATAATGATAATAATAATAATAATAATAATAATAATAATAATAATAATAATAGGGGAACAAAAAGGCACAACCAGAAGAAATCTTTCAGTTAAGGAAGAAGCAACCACTTTTTGTGAAGAAAGTAAAAGAAGGTTACAGCAGGGTCGCCACTGGCTTCTATTCTGAGCTATATCTGATAACGTCTCTAGACACTGTGTTACACTATGTCATACACTGACCACCTCTCCGCCTTTTCCAACTAGTCCCAGAGTCGGCGAATAAGGCACGACGAGGAATTCTGTGGGACGACATTCGTAGGACATGTCCAAGCCACCGAAGTCGGTGTTTCAAGATGGTGACACCAATTGCATTATCGTCTCTGTGCCCGAACACACGATGCCGAACCTCTGCATTACTAACATGGTGTTGCCACTGGATGTCAGCAATCCTTCGGAGACAACAATGATCAAACACAGAGAGTCGTCTAACATCCTCAACTCGGAGAGCCCAGGTTTCACAAGCATAGAGCAAAACTGCTCTCACCGACGCGTTGTAAATCCGACCTTTTGCAGAAGACTAATATTACGAGGGCGCCAAAGATGGTCCAGATTTACATAAGCCGCTTTGGCTTTCACTATACGTGCATTCATCTCATCACTCACACCACCACCAGCACTTATGCAGCTACCTAGATACACGAACTTCTCGACTACTTCTATCTGCTCACCATCCAGAGTGAGTACAGGATTAGAATCCTGCCAGTCTTGCAGAAGTACTCTGCACTTCGAAGGTGCAAAGTACATACCGTACCTACGGACATTGATTGCCAACTGATTAAGTGCGGATTGCATGGCTTGGGAATTATAACATTGTATGAACGTCCCCTGAGACCTGATAAAATTCGCACCCATACAATCAACGATTCTGAGAAAACACTACATTGAGTAAGAGTGGACTACATAATTAGGAAGGTGAAAATGGTTATCATAGACTATAGAGCATATCATCAACTAACATTTCCTGTTTTCCTCAGTTGAATAAATCAGCCAAAGTGACCTAATGGGTATATCATGACACATTTAATCTATTTATAAATTGCTGCACTAATATTACCTTCTGAGGGAGGTGGAGTTTTTCCAAGAGATCTATAGAAGACCTCACGACGTTGTCTCTCTTCTACATAAAGTTTTGTTAAATAAAGAGAATAGCACACTTACTTTGTTTTAAATCTGGTACAATTTTATAAACAATATCTTGGAGAGTACGATCAAAACTATTATCATACGAAAATAGAAAACATAAAACTATTAAGTGAAACAAACCTCATATAATTTAATGGGTGACTTTGATGGATGAGAATCCCGCAAACAGGACATTCGCGTTTTTCTTCTGAATACTTTACTATACAAGATTTACAGACTAAAAAATTTAATGTATATTACAAGGCAAGAAATATTCCACTTACATGGATGAAGACATTCAGTTATCGAAACAGCATCAATTAAATAACCTTTACATAATTTACAAGTTATAAATTCATTTAGATCGGATAACTGAATAGCAGGTAGTTCATCCATGTACTCATACATGTATGTATACTATGTAGTAAACAGTGATAAGACATCGGCTCATTTCGGCTTAGACACTGAAAAATAATCACAAAGGAAATAGATGAAGCACATAGGTAATTGACAATGGAATAAATCGCAAGATAAAACTGATTATCATTCACCCAATGAAAATGAACGCATAATTAAATCTGATTCAGAATTACCAGCCAGTTAAAAGAAAGTAAATTTTCTATCTTTTTAAGTGGAAAATCTTTATGACTATCAACCAAAATACTAAAAAGTGAATGCTTACATGCATGTATATGAAGTTCTTACCTGATATGATACAGAACACAAGCCAGAAAAACGTTTCAGAAATAGGCGAGACTTGATAACCATATTCATACTTAATTCACCGAACTATTCAGATATTTACCAATTATGGTTTATGAATATTGCTTGACTTGAGAAACCTCTAAAAGCTACACTGAATTAGTGACTAATGTACGGCCTCACAATTTATTACAGTACTATGTCATAAGTAATATAGGACCTCGCATATGTCACACCTTATCTTACACTATGAATTCCAGTCACTTTCTGAAGCACGAGACAATACATAAAAACTCATAGGAACGTTTTATGTAACCGATTAGTAGTGTCGGTTATTTCGTTAAGCCCATATACCTTATTCTAGCTTCCGGACAGGCCAACCGATTCATTCTAGTTGAGTCATATATTGACCTTGTTAATTATTCGCTTATCAATCTTGACTGTTTTTATATGAGCGTATATATATTTGTACACGTCTTATCCTATTCATCAGATATCTGTAACTTATTTTTGTGTGACTATAAGTATTGATTAACACAACTAAATGGAGTCGGCTCACATGCCTTCTCCACTGCGCGTCGTTTCGCTTCGCTCTATTCCATTCGCTTCTCCGATATTTTGTCTGCATCAAAAATTGTATGAAATATACGTATTAGAAATTCATTCTCGTATTCGACTTTTTTGATTCCGTCATTGAATAACGCGATTTAAGTCGATGATTATATACGAGGATAGGCAACACATATTTTTCGACAACAATCATTCATGCGATCTACTTGGAGTCCGATCTCAGGCCACTAAAGTGGAGAGCCCGTCGACAACATCATCCGATCTACATGGCGACATAATAAAAAGCTCCTGTGAGGGCGATCTCTGACAAAATCCCCGCATAGTTTCAAAAGACTTGATAGACTTCTGCCAACTTGCGTCACTTGTAGCGTAGGCAAGATATTCATCTGCCAACTGAAGTACAAGTTTACTGCTTAATATTTTGTTCCGTTCACCTTTATAGCCGTGAAACGTGGCCTTTAAAAGCAGAGGCTATCCGTAGGTCACTTCTGTTCGATTGTAGTTGCTTTCAAACCACTGCTCGTACACTCTGAGACCATTGAGCTAGCGATTCTGATGTTAGATGCAGAGCACTAGGTATATATGGCAGATCGATTAAAATAGTAAATCTTTATCGAATTTACTTATTGGAACACATAAATATTGGTACAAAGGGGCACCGAATACATATGCGCCACACAAGTCACTTGGTTTATGTGTGGACTGTGATACTGCCCAGGTGCCCAAATCGAATAAGATGGTTAGAACATGAATAACGTACATCTAAACACAAACTACTTCGACGCGTCATGCTGACTTGTGTATGAGTAAGTTAGAAGAAAGATAAGAACAGCCAAACCAAAACATGGTATCAGTTCATGAAAATAACGAACATTGGATTGAATCATGTTGGTAGGTGCGGACTACCTAGTTGGGTTCTGCATGACTGTCGTACCCAATGGTTATAGACGTTGAGTGAAATGGGTCGAAAATGTTTGCGATAGAGTGGGTGCATCGACACTTTCTTTATGATTAAATTTGAAGTCCTTAAATTAGTCATAATTTTCTTTTTATTTATTACCTTCAATCCACAATCATTCCTGTCACCACTAATACTGTCACTATCTCAATTACTCTGTGATTTGATCTGACGATTTGATTATACTGCACTGAGGTTGGGTAGTTTGAAGCAACATGCACAGGTCCCAGGCTCTACTTTGCATTCGATCAACTGACTGTTTTATTCATTTCTTTATTTATTTATTTAAACACATAAACATTGGTACAAGGAGGCACCAGATAGATATGTGCCACATAAGTCATTCGATTTGTGTGAGGGCTGGGATACTGCCTGGGTGCCTAAACCGAAGCAGGTAGTTTTCTTAAGGGACCACACTCGGAGCCTTAGACCTAAACGTCTGGTCCACAAGACAGTGGAACGACGTAGGGAGATGCAGTCATTTAGTAGCTGTGTCCACCAACCCGGTTAAAGCGCAGAATAATACCCTGAGCAGCTAAACTAAAATCATCGAACCCACGACTTGTTTGGAGAAATTTCAGGGCAAGACTAATTTATGGACGACCTTTGAACGAATCTTAAGTGACCTTGGGAAATATTAGCCAATCAGCAAACACTAAGTATAGTGTAAAATATATTATATAAAACCAAAGAAAGAGAGTGGATACACTTCTTATATTTGGTTCAAAAACTTGTTTAGGTTAGAACGGGGTTCAAAGGTTCTAAAATCGTAATGCATGCAGTAGAGAAAATCATTTATACGGCTACAGAATAATCGGCCTATGGAGTCATGAAAAAGTCTTAAAAGCTCTTTCATCCTCGACCACATAGTTACAATATTGTTTGTGTGCACTCCGGTTGTTGAGTACACAAAATATCACTTGTGGATAAGGACACCATGCACATAACCAAGCCTATATAGGAGTCTGTACGCTCTTCAATCATCCCCATATATTGTAGTAATTGACTGCAGGCAGTGTTACTGGTGCTTCTGATTGGCTCGTCCATAAATTAGAGTTTCGCCATTTCGGGTTTTCCCCAATATTCCCCCAGAACCTTAAAACATTGGGATTTTTGCTCAAAACTTCCCCAAAATTTTAGGAAAACTGCCAAACTTTTCACGACTTTGCGGAAAACCCCGAAATTTACCCGAAATTCCCCAAACGTTCCTCGAAATATGGAGAATGGGATATCGCAACGTTCATGACTCTTTCAATACAAAGAGTCCTATAAAGAATTGACCTGCCACCTCTTCAGGAATAGAGCTGACTAAAACTAGGCAGAAAACAACCTTATTGATCTAAAGATTAATCTCGTAATATATTTGCGTATGATATCACGCATGTAAACAAAACACAAGCCATTGTGAGCGGATTCGATCACATAAAGTAGTCAAAACACTCAATTGCACTGACCACATTGAAACAAATGGACGGACATCAACATGTCGTACACATAAAACAAGCAACTTTGCACAAAAGTTAAGAGTTTATGGAGGAATCCAGTCACAGATCGTCAAATAGGAACTTACGTTTACTTTCGAGTACCGCGGCTCATCCTGTAACCTTCAACATCAAACCTCGAACTTGCGATATTATTCTTGAAATATGCTCCTGAAATAGTAATGTCTAATATATCCAGTGTGTTTATGACCAGTTACTTTGGATAAAATGACACTTAGCCTTCGAAAAACTTCAAGTTCACTACGAAGATCCTTTAAAGTTTACTGAGCAGAATCGGAGAACTGTTGGTTCTCGTGGATGTGAGTTTAGGGTGTGGGAGGTGGTGGTTATCTATAGAGAGATTAATACCTGGGTTGATCCTCAATACACCGGAAATAACATCACTTTAGTTCATAATAAAAAAACTGGATGATTATTCCTAGATTTCAAGTCAACTTCAGGGTTAGAATATCCGCCGATTCTAATAAGGATGATAGGTTGATGAACCTGTGTTAACCCTGACAGATTGTCTTCCAGCGAAGGTCCAGCTTCTACTTGAGTGTATTCACTGACGAGGCTGATACCACTTGTTCGGTTAAGGCGTTCTAATCATTGACTACTCGATGAGAAAAACGAAACCCCACTTTCAGTTTATTAAATCGTGGTTTGTGAACCTTCTTGCTATGACCTCGTAGATTATTAGTGCTGGAGGGAGCAAAAGCATAAGACATATTAACACCCAAATCATAATTAAAGATACGAAATGCTAGTATAAGGTCACCTCGCATCCTACGGTACGATAAGGGGAAAAGGTTTAGGCGTTTTAAACGCTCATCGTAAGGGAGTTTAAAAAGACCCTTCACTAATTTCGTTCCCACATGCTGAACACGCTCAAGTGAGTTAGTATCTTTTATCAGACATTGGCGAGCTGCTTGAATACAGTATTCTAAGTGTGGTCTTACATAAGTGGGATATAAAATTCGAAACATTTCCTCGTCAAAGCATTTGAATGCTCGACGAAGTGACCATAACGCACGAAAACCTTTGACAGAATCTGAGTTGAAATTCGTATTTGTTTATAAGCCACGAATTATTGTTACTCTCAAGTCTTTATGTTCTTGAACGCGTGGAAGAGATGTATCATCAATAGTATAATGGTAACTATTACCGTGTCCGGTGTTCATGACCACACTTTTCCTTGAATTAACTTTTAAGCCTCAACCTCGAGCCCGTCTGACTAAATCGTCTAAGTCAGCTTGGAGATCAAAATGATCAGCCTGAATTCATATTAATCTCCAGATTTTTACTTCATCCGCAAACAATAATGTCGATGACGTAAGCAACAGTGGCAGTTCAGTAACATAGAGAAGGAAACTTAGAGGGCCTAAGATGGTGTCTTAGGGTACAACACTTTTGACCGGCATCCATTCGAATAGCGTTCCATTGACCCTCACTCTGTCTGCGGTCATATAAAATGTTTCTTATCCATTCCTGTGCCGCACCTAATATTCCGAAGCCTTAGAGCTTCTGCATAAGACCTAAGTGTGAAACCTTATCAAACGCTTTGCTAAAGTCTATGGATATCATATCGACAGATAGACCGTTATCTAGGGCTGTTGTCCAATCCTCTCTCCCAATAAGTACGTTGGTGGAGCATGAACACTTGTTTCTAAACACGTATTGCTCGTGAGTTAACA